ATGAACTTCTCTCTTAGAACTGCTTTTGCTACATCCCATAAGTTCTGGTGTGTTGCGTTTCCATTTTTGTTTCTCGATAAACTTTTTTATTTCCCCTTTAATTTCTTCTTTGATCCACTGGTTGTTGAGGGCGGTGTTAATTTCTATATGTTTGTGAATTTTCTAGTTTTCCTCCTGTTATTGATTTCTAGTTTCACACTATTGCGATCAGAGAAGATACCTGGTAGGAGTTCAGTCTTCCTGAATTTGCTAAGACTTGTTTTGTGGCCTAACATATGGTCGGTCCAAGAAAATGTTTCATGTGCTCTTGGGAAGAGTGTATATTCTGCTGTTGTTGGCTAGAATGTCCTGTATACTTCTGTTAGGTCCATTTGGTCTTATAGTGTTGTTCAAATCCACTGTTCTCCTATTTCCTTATTGATTCTGTCTGGATGATCAATCCATTGTTGAGAGTGGGGTAATAAAGTCCTCAAATATTGTAATAGTGTTTATTTCTCCTTTTAGCTCTGTTAGTTTTTGCTTTATATATTTAGGTGCTCCTATCTTGGGCATTTAAGTATTTATAATTGTTATATCTTCTTGATGTGTTGTACTTTTATCATCACATAATGACCTTCTTTGACTTTTTTTTTTTACTATTTTGAAAGTCTATTTTGTCTGATATAAATATAGCTATCCCACCTTCTTTTTTTGGGCACAATTTGCTTTAAATGTCTTTTTTCTGTCTGTTCATATTCACTCTCAGTCCATGTGTGTCTTTAAGGCTAAAGTGAGTCTCTTTTAGGTTGATATTGTTGGATCTTGTTTTTTAAATCCACTCAGCCATTCTATGTCTTTTGATTGAAGAATGTAATGCATTTACATTTAATGTAATTATTTATAGGTAAGGGCTTACTATTGCCATTTTGTTAATTTTTTTCCTCATTTTTTTGTAGATCCTTTGTTCTTTCTTAACCTTCTTTCTTTTTTTGTGTTTCGATTTTTTTGGTATCAGTATGCTTTGACTTATTTATTGTGTTCTTTTGTGTGATTACCTCAAGATTTTCCCTTGTGGTTACCATGAGGCATGCATAATATATCTTAAACTCATAACACCCTATTTTAAACCTATATTAAGCCTATTAATAAATACAATTTTTATACTTTATACTTTTACTTCTGCCCCTCACATTTTAGATTATTGCTGTTATAATTTATTTCTTTTAGCTGGTGTAACTAATAACAGATTATTGTATTTATGGTTATTTTTGCTACATTCCTTTAAAAAAAAATTTTAAACTAGAGTTGTGAGTGAGTGATGTATCACTATTACCATATTGCAGAATCCAGTTATGACTATATATTTGTCATTGCCAGTGAGATTCATGTTACCTTTTTGTGTTTTTGTTTCTTGTAAGGTAGGTCTGGTTGTAATTAACCCCCTCAGCTTTTGTTTGTTCGGACAGTCTTTATCTCTCCTTCATTTCTGAAGGACAGCTTTTCCAGGTGTAGAATTTTGGTTGACAGTTATTTTCTTTCAATGTTTTGAATACGGCATCCCATTTTCTCCTGGCCTGAAGAGTTTCTGTTGAGAAATCCAATAGTCTTATGGGGGTGTTCCTTGTATGTAAGTTCTCTCTTTCCTCTTGGTGCTATTAAAAAATATTTTGTCTTTGACTTTTGACTATATAATAATGTGTCTCAGTGTAGCCCTCTATCCTTAGGTTCAAACTGTTGGATCCTTTGGGCCGCATGGATCTATATATCCATTTTTCTCCCTAGGTTCAGGAAGTTTTCAGCCATTATTGCTTTCTGTCCCTTTCTCTTTTTTTCCTTCTGGACTTCCTGTGATGCACATATTGTTTCTTTTCATTGTCATATAATTTCCATAGGCTTTCTTTGCTATTTTTAATTTTTTCTTTCTCCTTGGGTAATTTCCAATATCCTATCCTTCAGGGTTTTGATTTTTTCTCTGCATGTTTGAATCTACTTTTGAAACTCTCTATTGAATTCTTCAGTTCTTTTATTGTATTTTTCAACTCTGAGATTTCTGTTTTTGTTTTTTTGATGGTTGCTATTTCCTTGTCAAACTTCTCCTGTTCATGCATTGTTTTCCTAATTTTGTTAGTTTTCTGTCTCTCTTCTCTCAAAGTTCACTAAAATTCTTTAAGAGATTTGTTCTGAATTCTTTGTCTGATAGTTTATAGGTTTCCATTTTTTTTAGGGTCAGTTCTTGGAGCTTTAATAGTTTGCTTTGGTGGCATCATATTTACCTGATTTTTCATGATCCTTGATTTCTTGTGTTGGTATCTGAGAATCTGAGTAATTAATCTCTTCTTCCAGATTTTATAGGTTTGCTTTGGCACAGAGAGTTCTTCGCTAGTCAGCTCATTTTATTTTTCTGGGTGTGTCTGTTGGTAATGCCTTTGGGCAGGCAGGGCCTGCTATTATGGACTGCTTTGGGCAAGGCAACTATTCAAATTCTGAGGACAGGGATGGGGTATTGTAGCACTGCATGAAAATAGGTGGATATGACTCCTGGCTTGGTTCCCTATCCAAATGAGGCTGTAGGATGGGGTCCTCAGTTGCCTTATTCTCTGCTCAGGCTTACTAGATGGTTGGGACTGGGTCTGTATTCAGTAGTAGATGGAGTTATGTTCCCTGCTTCCCTGCTTTGGCAGGGCAGCAGCCAAGGTTCAGGGCACATAGAGGTCATTGTTTGGGGCCTTCAAATCAGGCCTGAGTGTCCACTGAATTCCCTGCTCAGGTGATGCTCTGCAGATGGAGGAAGCTGTGCTCACTGTTCAAGCACCACTGTATGTAGGGCTGTTAGATGGACTATATGGCTTCCCTTGTGCTCTGGTTAGGTTCCCTGGTCAGATAGCTGAAGGCTATATTTAGCCATGAGCAAGGCCATGAATTAGATTCCCTTTCTGTGTGCAATAGGAGAAGCAGCTGTAAAACTGGTAAAGCTCTTTGTTGTCTTAATTCAAGAAGACCCACGCCTTAAGTTCCCTGGCCAAATGAGGCCAATGGCTCTGCAAACTACTGGCTCTGTCTGCTCTTCTCTTAGCTCAAGTGCCACTGGGCCACACAGCATCCAGGAGTTGTCTCTAGCCCTTCTGGTCAGATGGTGCTGAAGGCACTCTCCACAGTGTGTGGGGCTGTGACTCAGTACCCTGCCTAGGTATGAGCAAACTGGGCTGTAGGGCTGGCAAACATCTTGTTTGAGGATCTGAATCAGGCAGATCTATACCTCTCCGAGTTCCCCAGAGTGTACTTCTAGCTTAGTTCTACAGATGAGCAAAGCCACTGGTTGAGATTACTCTTTGGGTACTGCCAATATGAACTTGGTCTGCCGACATCCATGTGCTGGTTGTTGTAAGCTCCTCCCTCATTCTCTGTCATAGTTATATTTCCAGTGGCTGAGCCCTGCAATTCCAGTGGTATGGGATGAGAGTAGGGGTGCTCACAGAGTGACATACAATGCTGGGGGGGTGGCAGTGCTGGTTGTTCCCTCTTGGGTTCTCTTTTCCACTGGAGGAACTGGAGGCTCAGGAATCACCTCTCCCCATGGTGCTGCACTGTCCTGGGGAACGGGCAATACAATCAACATGCAGTAACTTCTCTTACCCCTCCAATACAGTCTACCTCGGTCTCTGAAGTCTGTGTGTGGGGTATTCTTCAGCCTCAGTCCTGTGTTCTAGGATTCTCTCTATGATGTCTTGTTTTGGGATAGCTGTTAATTGTTCTTGTGAGGGGGAGCAAATTCAGGAATGATGTATGTCACCCCAATATTTTGTCAATGTAAATTTTAAATGTATGAAAGGGCCCACATAAAAATATAAATATTAAGGTCACTTGCAGCAAAATACAGCGCATTAGAATTATTTAGCCAAAATTTTATACTTTAAGGTAGGCACTTCATAACATTTGGATTTTGGCAAAAGGCAACAGTTTGATGTCAATGTTTTAACCTTTCTATTAACTGTATAACTTTTTCAAGGGAATATATTTTCAAAATATTACAGAAGGGAAACAAATCTGTCTAAGCTACATATGAATGGAATTCCACAGGACAGAAAGCAAATTTCATTTTCCCTTCTTCTTTTCATAAACTGTTATATATCTTCACAATCAAGTTCTACAGTTTTACTTCCTGATGTAAAATCCCATGGGAATATTCAGCTTCTAATCTTTTAATCTGAAATGAAGTATCTGTTGCTTGTAGAACTTGATACAGTGTTTTTTCCCACAGTTGGAAAAACTTTTGTCATAATAAAACACTAATTAAAGTCAGATGATTTTTAGGTGGCAGTAGCTAGCACTGAAGAGTTCTTGGCTTCAAGCAGCTGTTGAGTCCCTTTGATCCTGTTTTAACTTGTCAAATTAAACAGATAAGATTAAACTGTTCTAAATGTTTTCATTCTTGGAGGCACAGAAATTTACTTCACACTTAACTAAACCATGAGCAGAATGTTTGGGGCCCAGTGGACCCATCTACCATTTGATTTAGCTGTCCTTTCTAGAACATGTCTCTTCCAGATAGATTCTGTTTGAAGTCTTGGTAATAGGAAACTTCACAAAACAATCTAGTCAATAAGGAAGCTCCAACTCCTCTTTCTTATCCTGAAACCAAAGTTCCTTGTTCTTATCCAGAAACCAAAGTTTCTGTAGCTTCCAACCAGTGCTTTAAACAGTGAAAGGCACAGAGTAGGCTCTCATGCACTTGAACAGTATTTATTGATGAACAAAAGAATGAATAATTCTAGTTCTGACTTTTAAAGCTACACAGAATATAGTTGTTTCCTTATGTACTCCAGGCTATTCTCTCTTACATCATTCTTCTCTTTTCCAGGATCAGTATTGCAGTTTCCTTAAGCAATATGATTTTCAGATGTTTTGTCTGTCTCATTACTCTTCTCTGAATGTGACTGCATTGATCAGTACCTCTCTTCAAATGTGATACCATTGAACCAAGCAGTATTCCAGATGGGGTCAGCTCAGAGAGGGGTAAAAACTCAGTATTTCTTAGCCTGGATATTCCACCTGACATATTGTTTGACCCAAAAAAGTAATCCTTAGAGCAATCCTTTCCTGTTTCTGAGTAAAGACATTTTATTCCAGGCAAGATCTCTGATTGGCACATATTCTGTTCTGGGAGAAGGATTGTTTTCTTGAATTTCCAGGGTAAGGAGGGGGTGGAGAACGCTGTGCTGAAGCCTGTGGGGTCGGGGAGTAGGGAGGTGGCAAGTCGGCACAGTATTCCATCTCATGGTCATAACTATAGGGGGGTGGTGCCACTGAAAAAGAAAAAGCAAAGGGCATCAGGCATTTAGCAAATATTTGAGTGTCTACTATGTTTAAACCACTGAGCTGAGTACTTTGGGACAGGGCGTAATTTTTGCCTGCAAAAATCTTAGTTTTATTGGTTTGAGGACACATGTGTATGAAAGGGCGAGTGCTACAAAAAGTGGTACCATTGGCCAAAATGTTTAGAATTGGTTGCTTAGGGAAAGTTTCTGGAAATATGATGTTAATGGGCAGATAAAGAAAAGACTAGGCGCTAATTCTAGATTGAACAAAAGCACAGAAGCAGGAGAGCACTTTTGTTGAAAGCAAAAAGTACATGGAAGGGGGAAATGGGAAGAAGTGTTGAGAAATCTGATGGTATCATCATCATGGTGGGCTTTGACTTTCACATAAGGGGTGTGTGATGTGCAGTTACCAAAGATTTTTTGAAGATGCTAGTGAATATGCTTAGGAGGGTGATTTTTCTCAGCAGTATGGATTGAAGTGAGCAGAAGAAAAGGAGAGATGATGTCATAGCATATGTGAAGGATTATAAACGACTCATGGCATTGGGAGGGAAAATCATAAGAGACCTTGAGCAGGTGAGTGCTTCGGTGATGACTAGGTAGGTAGAGAAAGAGGTGGAGAGTGAAAGCAGATGCCCGGGTATTGGGCACCCTTTATTAGACTCCAGGAACTTAGAAGGTTATGGAGCCATTATAGGAATAAGAAATAAAAGCGAGGATGGGCAAGCACATTTGTGAATGGAAATGAAGAACTTAGTTTTCTAAATATTATTTGAAAATGTTTCTTAAATTATTTTTTTACTGTAATATATGTCAGTGTGTTTTAAATCACATTTAGTACACTTCATTATGACTATGTATTGGTGTCTCTTTTGTAGGGATCTCAGTCCCATGTCAAGGGTTCAAAGAGAGGTACCCCTTGAGTATTCCATATCTTCAAGAACCAATCATTCTGCAACATCTGAACAACCCCTCTGACGATTTGCCAGTGTTTGAATTATCATCAAGATCATGATTCTGGTTGGAAATTGGCATGCCTTAATTGCTTACTATGAATGTAGCCTAAATCACAAGACTAGTGTCATAATAATGCAAATAAATGGCCAAGCTTTTTAAACATTAGAATGGCATTAAAGAACAAGCAACATTTCAATAAACTTATCTTTAAAATATCTTCTAGGGATGCCTGGCTGGTCAGCTGGTGGGGCATGAGACCCTTGATCTCAGGGTTGTGGGTTTGAGCCCCACATTGAGTGTAGCGATTACTTTAAAATAAAATCTTAAAAAAATAAAAAATAAAATGTCATCTAAATTGTGATCTTACCAATAAGATTATGGTAGTGTTCTGATCAATGTGCATGCAAAAACATAGGGCTTCACCCTGTTTGCAAACACTAACAATGTTTCTTCTGAATCCCTTTAATTTGGCTTATTTTACCAGGAGCTTAATGATTTGAACCACTACTGATCTGCCTGTACTCAGGGATGTGAGGACACAGAATTGGGTCACCTGAGAAAAGAGGAAAATGGAGACAGAGAACTGGGTGGGATGTCCTCTGAGGACTGCTCTATTGAGCAAAGGCTTTACAAGTCTCCAGGCGAAGGGCTTATAGCAGAGGACAGCTGTATTCAGCTTCTCTAAGGCTGCTTTAAACACTTGAGGCTGGGCTATCAAAAGCTTTGTTTTCTATAACAAAATGGAACAACTCCTATGGAGTCTAAACACACATTCCCTCCGCATTACACCCACTCCTTTGTTTCATTATATCCAGGAGGACTAAGACAAAGAGATTTAGAATATACTTCATCCAAGCCAAGAAATACAGGCTCCATGTAAAATAGGAAGTTACAGCTGGATACCTATTGAACTTTTCTTATAAGCATGTGGTTCTAAGCTGTTTTTATGTTGAAGCTTTTCCCTGCCTCCCACTTGCGGAGCACACGCTGAATGAATCTACAGATTGGCTTTGCATCATTCTCTGTCATGAAGCTGTGGTGTCTATTTATGCTTCGGTAACAAAGCGTTTGTATTTTGCCATCTGCATTAAAACTGCTAGAGGACACTTCAGTGAGATTCCCTATGGTTTATACAGCTGCTTGTTGAACATGAAAATGTAAGATATGATTAGATTCATATGGCCCTCTACTCATAGAGCTTTTGAATTTTGATAAAGTGATAATATAATGCAGAAGAGCAATATTTTGAGGACTATCCATCATGAAATAAACATGGCACATCTTTTATAGTATTAGCTACTGGAAGACATTTTAAAATAAGACTTGTATAACTGTGGACTCTGCTATCTTTCTTTCTTTCAGATAATAAGGTTTCACCAGGAAGTAAACTTTTCAAGGTATCAGTTTTAGAAAATTCCTGATTAACTCTGAGAGGTTTTGTTCTTTCTTAAAGGTCAAAGCATCTTTCGAAGACGTATGGATGCAGCTGGAGATATGGTGCCTTTGAAATTCTTTCATCATCAATATTCCAACTCTCTTAAGTACAGCAAATATGTCATTATAGTTTTCTACAATATTACAAAATTTAGGGATGCTATGAAATTTATAGAAGAAATTTAGTGTTTTTCACCCACTCAGGCCAACATCTCTGAAGCAAACATAAAGGGAAGATGCATGGTGTTACCAAAACCGTTACAACATTATTTTTAAAAATTTGGAAACAGCGGAAAATCATCCATAATTTTGCCATCACGATTTAACCAGTAACATCTTTATATAATCTCTTCTAGTCATTTGTGGGTTTTATGTCCTTGTAGTCATGTAAAATGAGTATATGCTTTTTTTACTTTGGATTATAACATAGTCTTTTTCATTCTGCTACATATTCTTCATAAACTTTATTGTTAATGGCTGCCTATTATTCTGACTGTTCACTTATTTTGAGATTAACAATTTTTTATTATTATAAGTAATGGAAAGATGATTACCTTTTTACACATTGACCTTTTTATTATTATTTTGAATTAGTTCTTTAGAATAAAATTCCGGGAATCAACTAACCGGTTATCATTTAATATTTTGGTAATTTAAAATTAAAAATAGTTCTTTATTTTATATTTCTTTGATAGTAGCTAGATTTGACATTGTTCTACAACTTGTTTACTGTCTGTAGTTTACTTACATTTTTCTTTTTTAAAGATTTTATTTATTTATTTGAAAGAGAGAGCAAGCAGGGCAGGTGGGGGAGGTAAGGGATAAGCAGACTGCACTGAGCTTGGAGCTGATGTGGGGCTCGATCTCATGACCCTGAGACCATGATCCTGAGATCATGACCTGAGCCAAAACCAAGAGTCAGACATTCAACCAACTGAGCCACCCAGGTGCCCCTACTGTTTATTGGGTAATTGTTGTTTGTTTTGGACTGGTAGTTTAAAAACTGGAATCTTAATTAGAATCAAGATATAATTAAGATAGCAAGATATAAACAAGTATACAAAGGTATGTATCTTTTCTAGGTAGCTTTGTAAAAATAACTGTCAAAATGGTTAATTATATTATTTTTACTTACTGACATACTGAAATTTAAAACTTGTATCTAACAAAATATATGGTTATCTTTTTGATCTTTTCTCTATTGTTAAACTTAAAAATTTGTCTTCTCTTTTGGATATCTGATTCATAGCCAAACTATTTCTATTTATATATTTAAAGCTTCCTTATATCTGTTATTTTATTTGGCGTATTTTTGTGTCAAAGTTTATTTTCCTTAAGTTTTAAATTTTAGCTAAGCCAAATTATCTATGTGGTTTCTTAATCCTCATTTTTCACATTGTTTTGTTATCTCTCCTTTAGTTTGTAAAATTTTAATGTACTAGTTCTGTTCCAATGATCAAGACATACCTTTTTATACCATTAACACCTCATTTTAATTATTTATTAATTTAAATGGTTTTAATATCTGTAGGGCAGGTGAATCTCATAACTTTTTTTAACATGTTTAAAAAAGTTTTTATTGAGATATAATTGACATATACCATCATGCAAGTTTAAGGTATACAACATGTTGATTTGATATATTTATATACTGCAATATGATTACCACCTATTAAGTTAATTAAACAAGGAGACTATTATACTGAGGTGGCTCTATTGTCATAGTGAGTAAACCAAAATGTAAGCCTGTAAATGCTTCAAAGTTACAAAATCAAAACACTAAGGACAACCAGTCACAAATTGCCCAACTAGGCTTTAAGCTATAGCCAGTGAAATAATTTCCTTTCTTTGCTTCTACATTTTCTCTCTATAAGGCAGGGAACTCCTAATCATTTCCAGTATGGTGCTTTCTGATTCAAATCAATTTTTGCTCAAAAATGTCTAGTATGCCTCAATTTGTCTTTTAATACATCTTAGCATTAGCTTATGACATTTTTAAAAAGATCTATTTATTTACTTTAGAAAGAGAGAGAACAAGTGGGAGGAGGGGCAGAGGGAGAGAATCTTCAAGCAGACTCCCGGCTGAGCACGGGGCTCCATGCAGGGTTCGATCCCACAACCCATGAGATCATGCCTTGAGCAGAAACCAAGAGTCACATGCTCAACTGACTGAGCCATCCAGGCATTCCTAGCTTATGACATTTTTAAGGACAACTTCTAATATTATTGCTAGGAGCAAACCTTCTCCTCCACCCTCCCCCAAACCACACTACTCACAGTTTGCTTGAACCTTACTCAGAGCAGAAACCCACAGAGCCCTCAGCAAGACCTCCACTGCCTCCACTCCCACCACAAAGACCCAATCCTGCCCATTTCTCCTCAACAGTGGCTTAAGATGTAGTTCCCAAAAGGATGATACTATTAGAAGCTATCACTCCCCTTTCCCTCAGATAACATCAAGACAAGTCCAGTCATATTTTACATTCCTCTGTTACCATGAGGAAAAGCTCTTAGAACATCTTTCATTGTAGACCTCTAACTCTGGAAGGCTTTACACATCAAATCTCATTAATTTTCTAAACTTTCCCTCCCCC